CTCCGCGGCATGTGGGATCTTCCCGGACCGGGACATGAATCTGTGTCCCCTGCATCGGCAGGCGGACTCTCAACCACTGCGCCACCAGAGAAGCCCGAGATAATGATTTAAGAGTCAACCAGTGTCTGGGTCCGTTCTCAAGTGTGGCTCTACATTAGAATTACCTGAGGGGTGTTTTAAAATATACCCAGTGTGTAACCCCACTGGAGACCAATTAAATCAGAATCTCTGAGGAGTGGGACCAAGGCATGAATACTTTTTAAAGGCTCTTCAGGAAATGATTGCATTGTGCACAGGGTTGAAGCCTGTGGTAAAGTTTAAGGGAATCATGTAGAACCAAAAAGGAGGTGGTTTACAGTCAGAATCTGGAGGGATACCAACAGTCAAGGGTAAATTAGGAAGAAAGCCAGCAATGGAGACCCTTTTGTGGGCCAAGATACTGAGTCTTTGGTGCCCTACTTTTTTTTGGCTGCGTTGGGTCTTCGTTGCTGCGCGCAGGCTTTCTCTAGTTGCGGCGAGTGGGGACTACTCTTTATTGCAGTGTGTGGGCTTCTCATTGCGGTGGCTTCTCGTGGTGGTGGCTTCTCGTTGTGGAGCATGGGCTCTAGGCGCGTGGGTTTCAGTAGTTGCAGCATGTGGGCTCAGTAGTTGTGGCACGTGGGTCCTACAGAGCACAGGCTTCAGTAGTTGTGGCACACGGGGCTTAGTTGCTCTGTGGTATGTGGGATCTTCCTGGACCAAAGATTGAACCTGTGTCCCCTGCATTGGCAGATAGATTCTTAACCACTGTGCCACCAGGGAAGTCCCCTGGCGTCCTGCTTTTCTATTGTACAACTCTAGTGTTGGATCCACATGACTTCTGGGCATGACTGTGTTTTCAACAGAACCTGAATTATCTACTCCTCCCACTTCTGGGAGTTGGCAACAATTCCCTTGCCTCGCATCTCCCTGCCACTAAAACCTAGACAAACTGATCTTACAAATCAGCAGGAGCCTAGGAGAGGATTCCAAAGTATAGTGGTTCCCATGTCTATTCACATTTGTAATGTACCCAAAGCTCAAATCTTTTCAAGTACACGTTCAATCTATTATTGTTATCTTGGGCTTTTGGTATAACATACTAGCAATAAATAGGGTTTCCCACTGAGCGGAAGTAGCTGGTAATTTCTTATTTTTATTTCCTTCTGCTGTCCCCCTTCCAGTTATAATTAAGCCATGTCTCAACTTCTCTACCTCCAGTTGTGTTTTTGACTTATTTTTTACATGTAATGAAAGGAAAGGGTAGGCAGGAATGGGGTCATGTAAACAGTGCCAGGATGGAGGGCAGTGCCAGGATGGAGGGAAGTACCAGCAGGTGCCTCCAGACCTCCTCAGGACCAACTGATGATGAGTTGAGAGGGAGAGACAAGTTGCAGATTGGAGCCAGAGCTCTCAGGAGCCCAGGGATAAGGTAGGTTATAGAATAAACCCCCGTGTCCTCTTGGCTCAGTGAGAACAAAGGGGCTAGTTTGAGTTAAGCGTGTTATGAATCCAAGAGAAACTGTGTTGTAAGGAATTAGGTGGGCAGGAAAAAACAAATTGAACTAAATTAAGATTAATAAAATACGGTTTCTCTCTTCAGGGATTATTAGTCTAGTGAGGGAGACATTTGTATAAATAACAGAATGGCAAAATGAAATAATCTCTAAATAGGTATACAACAAAATTATTTTCTCTAAGAAGATGAGAAAGCTTTTGTGGAGAGATGGCATCTGGATTTAGCATCAGAAAGATGTGGAAAATCTCAGAAGGTTGGCAGCTAGGGGTTGGGGATGGCATTCTAGGCTGAGGAAGCAGTGTGAGTAAAGACTTGGTATTAATGTGTGTCCAGAGAGTAGTCAGTAAAGTAGTGTGGTTGGAGCATGTGGTACATGGAAAAATCATGGTTGAGGCTGTTATTTTAATGCTCCCATTTGTATCACTGTTGTGATAAGGGCCTCTTCTTTCCCTGTATTAAGTGGGCCCAGATATTTCTCAGACTTACAGACTTCAGCTGCATCAGCTCTTAAACACAGTAGGGGTGGAACTACATTCTCCACTAAGGACCACGTAGGAATCACCCCTAGTTATTTTTTCCTATTGCAAATGACTCACCCATTTGAAAATTCTGAAATGGCCCCTTGGTTGAGACTCACTGCCATAGGGAGCCACTGTTCTTTTGGGTCTGTGCCATATCCCTCAGGTGTGTTGTGGTAGGAAAAAAAAAAAAAAGGTTGAGAACATGACCATGACTATAAACTCCCCAAGAACAAGGACTGTATAATTAATTGCCTTTTTATTTCCCCACATATTACTGTTTGGTGCCTGGCCTCTGTATGTTGGCAGTTAATGCTGTATTGTCACTATTTCACACCATTTTTACAGACACCAGTTATTTGGTCAATTGATTTCTGATCATTGTGAAACTGGAAAAGAACAATAAGGAGCCTAAGCCTCTAACTTCATTGCCTGTCTTTATACAGAATCCTTACCATGGATGGGCTCATTGAGGACATAAAGCGACGGCGATACTACGAGAAGCCTTGCCGCCGGCGACAGAGGGAAAGCTATGAAACCTGCCGGCGAATCTACAACATGGAAATGGCTCGCAAGATCAACTTCTTGATGCGAAAGAATCGGGCGGATCCGTGGCAGGGCTGCTGAGGCCTGTGGATAGGAGGCCCCATGTGAAAATCCTTATCCAGCTGTCTCCACCTCTTTTCTTTCTCCCACCCCATTTTCTCTTACCTTTCTTACAATAAACTCACATATATGCGAGAAGGCCTGCATATATAGAAGCAATCCCACTAGTCAGCAATAGACACTTTCTTGTATTAAGTCAAAGAGAAACCGAGTCCAAAAGTAGTCTGGGAGTAGAATGGTGGTTGCCAAGGGCTGGTGTTGGGAGGAGGGGAATGGGAAATTATTGTCTAATGAGAGCAGAGTTTCAGTTTGGGAAGATGAAAAAGTTCTGGAGGTGGATAGTGGTGATACTTGCACAACAACGTGAATGTACTTAATGCCACTGAACTGTACACTTAAATGATTAAAATGTTAAATTTTATGTTTTGTATATTTTACTGTAATTTTTTTAAAATATTTATTTATTTATTTGGCTGCGCCAGGTCTTAGCTGCAGCACACAGGATCTTCGTTGCCGCCTGCGTGATCTTTAATTGTGGCATGAGGGATCTAGTTCCCTGACCAGGGATCGAATCTGGGCCCCCTACATTGGGAGCATGGAGCCTTAGTTGCTGGACCACTAGGGAAGTCCCTATATTTTACTGTAATTTTTAAAAATGTAGTCTGAAGTGGGAAATTTTTTAAAATGTAGTGGAGTATATCTACCATGTCTAATTTTTATGAAACCCAAAGCAAGATCTTGTTGGAAAATGATCTATTCCTCTTTACTGAACCGCCTTCCAACTATTAGGTAAAAGGAAGAGGAAACATGTATATATTTGGAATAAATTCTACTTCTGAAACACCCATCAACCAGGGTAGAGAGCTGGAACCCTTCCCCAAAGGAATCCTTAAGACAGTCTAACATTCACCCCTGTTTTGTCTTTCCTGTGGTTTTCCTAAAGGAGGCTAGTGGAGGGTTGGTGGAAAAGAAAGCAGTAGATGGATGGTAGGAAAGAGAGAATGGGGGAGTGTTAAGAGAAAGAAGGGCACAAAGCCAGAAATACCTACAGCAGTGGCTCTCAAAGTGTGATCTTCAGATCAGTAGCATCACCTGAGAAATTGCTAGAAATGGAAAATTTGGGACCCTACTTTAGACCTTCTGAATTGGAAATTGAGGTTGAAGCCCGGCAATCTAGTTTAACAAGCCCTGCAGGTGATTCTGATGCAGGCTAAAATTGGAGAACCATTGCCCTATAGTACTCAAAAGAGATTCCAGGTGGAGGTCCCAACTACCACCCCTGCCCTCCTCAACAGGCACTCCTGGGCATGGGACTCTTGACAGCTGGGGCATCTGACCACTGTGGGAAGACCAGCTGCTCTGCTTCCTCTCCTGCTGTGTTTCCTCTGATCTTGGTCCCCTAACAGCCATGCCTGCTAGTATAAGGAGAGTTGGTGCCAACCCCTGTAGGAGAATGCAGAGGGTAGGTGGAAGTGGCTAGCCCACCTCTCCTCACCCTGAGTGGAGCCCACTCAGCATAGTGTTTAAAAAGGAAGTAAACAATGTATAACTGATTCACTTTGTTATAAAGCAGAAAATAACATACCGTTGTAAAGCAATTATACTCCAATAAAGATGTTAAAAAAAAGTAAACAGAGCCAACTGCCAAGCCTCCTATCTCTCCAGATTACTAGTGTTCAAATATTGCCCCCTTGTGGTACAGTAGCGTGGCTTCAGATTTCTTCTGGTCTTAATTCTGTCTTCAGTGTCTTTTTCTCTCTTTCACAATAACCATACTTACTGATTAAACAGCAGATATGATGGAACCAGTGTTCCTTGTGTCTCAGGGCTTGATTGTCTTTCTTCCACTCATCAGGAATAAGGCCCATGGTGAATAAAGCATATTATTGGGCACTACATAGAAACAGCTTATAAATAGAAGATCTGGTCCTTGTCCTCTAGAAACTTACATTGCGGTTTGAGAAATTCTATATACAGCCTGTCTTCAACTCTTACTTTTGTACAACCTCATTTTAATAAGTTAACAAATTAGACACTGATACTTCTGACACCTTTCAATCTCTGAATTTGGTCTTCAGTACATTACTTTTGAATGATGTTGAGCCACAGCATGTTATCACCTGTTGCCGATTGCTGTTGCTAAAGAATAAAGACCTGGCTTCTGCCAAAATGGCAGGATATGTTTGTGATAGCAGAACTAGGTCTGTTACTTGGCAGCATTTCTCCCTGTTAAGTGGCAGCTTTTCTCTGAGGCTAAAGTTGCTTCTGTCGTCTCTCCAAAATACTAAGGGGTGGCTAAGCTCTGGAATTCGTCTCTGAAATTATCCCCTGCTTGTCCTAATCTCCAGTCCTGACCACTGTCCGTGTGCCCTGGAGCAGTGAACAATGATGGGTTGTAGCAGGTAGCCAGTAGAAAAGGCCTCGTGTGTGAGAAGCGGGTAGCCGACTTGGTGAGGTCCCAATCAGCTTGTGCTGTCATGGAAGGAAGAAAGACCTTCCACTCCCTGCTCTGGGAAGCTAGAGGATACCTCATGGTCATTTAATGAGTGGGGATTGCCCTAATCTTTTTATTCCTGCATCACCTTCGGGAGAGGGGTGCTTTAGTATTTACACAGTTACAGGGCGATAGATACAATACCTCCTACCTTGATCTTAGGCACCTATGACATCTCTTAGATGTCCACTGGGTTACCTCTGTCAGGCATGTTTAGTACTCTGGAAACAGGTACCCCTTTAAAATTGGACTCTGTTGAGTAACTTTGACATTGTACTTTTAAAGTTTTCAGAAGTGCACTAAGTACAAAATAAGTTTGCCTATATGTTAACTGAAAATACTAAGGAATAACTACTCACTGTATACAGTAAGTCCTCTACATACAAACCTTCAAGTTGCGAACTTTCAAAGATGTGAATGTGCGTGCCAGCCCCTGCGTGCCAGCTGTTGTACTGTACTACTGTACTTCTCAAGGTACTATAAGATTAAAAATGTTTTATTTTTTGTGTTTGTGTACACATTATTTGTGTGAAAAGTATTATAAACCTATCACAGTACAGTACTATATAGCTGATTGTGTTAGTTGGGTACCTAGGCTAACTTTGTTGGACTTACGAACAAACTGGACTTACGAACGTGCTCTTGGAACAGAACTCGTTCATATGTAGGCGACTATTACTTCAGACTGTATTAAGTGTAGGTAGTTGAAGAAAAAGGAAAAGATTGGAGCTTCTAGTATGTTCCAGCTACCTTATATGCATAGTTTTTTACATAGTCAAAAAGATCTAGATTCAGGGGCTTCCCTGGTGGTCCAATCGTTAAGACTCCTCACTCGGGCTTCCCTGGTGGCACAGTGGTTAAGAATCTGCCTGCCAATGCAGGGGACATGGGTTCGAGCCCTTGTCTGGGAAGATCCCACATGCCGCGGAGCAACTAAGCCCGTGTGCCACAACTACTGAGCCTGCGCTCTAGAGCCACAGCTCCTGAGCCTGCGTGCCACAACTACTGAAGCCCGAGCTCCGCAACGAGAGGCCACGCAATGAGAAGCCTGCGCACCGCAACGGAACAGTAGCCCCTATTTGCCACAAATGGAGAAGGCCCTCGACAGCAACGAAGATCCAACGCAGCCAAAAATAAAAATAAATAAATAAATTTATTAAAACAAACAAAAACTCCTCACTCCCAGTGCAGGGGGCCCGGGTTCGCTCCCTGGTCAGGGAACTTGATCCTGCCTGCCGCAAGTAAAGATCCTGCATGCTTCAGCTAAGATCCCACATGCCACAACGAAGATCCTGCACAGGGCAATGAAGATCCCATGTGCCGCAACTAAGACCCAGTGCAGCCAAATGCATAAATAAATATTTTTAAAATGTATATATAACATGAAGTTTACCATTTTTTAACCATTTTTAAATGTACAATTGAGTGTTATGTAACTATTACCACTATCTATTTCCAAAACATTTTCATCACCTGAAATAAACTAATCATTAAGCAATAATTTCCCACCCTCCACCCCCTGCCTCCCCATAGCCCCTGGTATTTGTCTATTCTATTTGTCTATTCTAGGTACTTCATATAAGTGGGATCATACAATATTTTCCCTTCTGTGTCTGGCTTATTTCACTTAGCATATTTTCAAGGTTTATCTATGTTGTACTATGTATCCGAAATTCATTCCTTTTTATGAAGGAAAAATATTCCATTGTGTTTATATATATGTATACATGTGTGTATATATATATGTGTGTATATATATATATATATGCCACATTTTGTTTATTCATTCATCTGTCATTAAACACTTGGGTTGCTTCCACCTTTTCACTAATGTGAATAATGCTGCTATGAACGTGGATGTACAAGTATCTCTTTGAGACCCTACTTTTAGTTCTTAGGGTATATACCCAGAAGGAGAATTGCTGGATTATAGAGTAATCCTGTTTTTTGAGAAACCACCATGCATTTTTCCATAGTGGTTGCACCATCTTACATTCCCACTAACAGTGTGCAGAGTTCCGATTTCTCCATATCCTTGTCAACCCTTGTTATTTTCTGGGTTTTTTGATAGTAACCAACCTAATGGATGTGAGATGGTATCTCCTTGTGGTTTAGATTTTTATTTCCCTAATGACTAATGATGTTGAGCATCTTTTCATGTGCCTTTTGGCCACCTGTATATCTTCTTTGGAAAAATGTGTAGTTAAGTCCTTTGCCCATTTCTTAATTGGGTTATTTGTTTTTTGTTGAGTTATAGGAGTTCTCTATATATTCTATATATTAATCCCTTATTATATATATGACTTGCAAATATTTTCCCCCATTCTGTGGATCTCTCTCTTGATGGTGTCCTTTGATGCACAGAAGTTTTTAATTTTGAAGTCCAATTTATTTTTTCTTTTGTTGCTGTGTTTTTGGTGTTATATCCAAGAAAATCATTGCCAAATTCAATGTCATGAAGATTTTCCCGTTTTCTTCTAAGACTTTTTATGGTTTTCGCTCTTACGTTTAGGTCTTTGATCCACTTTGGGTTAATTTTTGTATATGGAATGAGGAAGGGGTCTCATTCTTTTGCATGTGGATGTCCAGTTTTCCCTCCACCATCTGATGAAAGACTGTCCTTTTTCCATTGC